TGGGATTAAAGGCGTGTACTACCACACCTTGAGGTCACAGAGGTCAATCTGCCTCTACCCCTTGAAGTCACAGAGGTCAATATGCCTCTGCCTCCCAGGCATTGGGATTAAAGGTGTGTACCACCACACCCTATTTCTCCCTTTTTTTTTATTTTTAATGACTTTAACCTTTAGTCTGCATATATTTTTAACACATTGTAAACTCTTTAGAGGTTTTCTTCATCTTTGAACCTTTCTTTATTGTATCTCTCTCTCTTTTTTGACCATATGAGCCTTTAATTTACAAAGCAATATGGAAAGCCGTGGCTTTGACAGCTAGATCCAGCTCATTCCTTAGCTTTTCAGACTCATAGCTGAGATACCAGCCACAGTTGTGTTCATTGCCATAACTCTGTTGTGTTTCAAGGTCCTTGCTAGCAAGCAAGCTGCATCATTCTGCTCACAGACCACAATCAGTCGGACTGCCTGCCTGCAAGAGTCAGAGTTTGTCCTGGCAGGACAGCCCAGAAAGCCGACATTTTAAAACAGCATAGCTTTTTCCTGCTACGACTGAAAACCGAAAAGCATGCGTTCAGCTTTTCACCAACAGCATTTAAGTGTTTCGTGGCAGGACCTCTTAATGAGCTGCAAGGTTTTGCGGCTAAGGCTGAGTCAAGAAGCCTCTCTTAGATGAGAGCATTTGCTTGCCTCTAGCAAGCAGAGCAGAACCGAAAAATTGCTGCTACCAAGAAAACATACTTTATTCTATTCTTTCCCAAACTTTCTCAGGCTTTCTGTGGATTCATTTATCCACGTCTGGGCGCCATATGTAGTATGTGGGGCTGGCTTGTTGGGGTATCTGTCCTGCCCAGTACCCCACAGCAGGCAGGCCCCAAAGAAAATCACGCACAAGACTCCATAAGATTATAAACTGATTGGCCCATTAGGTCAGGCTACTTATTAGTTCTTATGACTTATCTTAACCCATTATTCTGATCTATGTTAGCCACACGGGCTCAGTACCTTGTTCAGCAGGGCCGGTTACATGCTGCCTCCTCGGTGATCTGTGTAGGAATGGCCGAGGAACCTTTCTCCTCCCTAGCCTTATCCTATTCTCATTACTCTGCCTCTACTTCCTGTCTGGTTGACCCGCCTATACTTCCTGCCTGGCCAGTCAGCGTTTTATTAAAATATGATTGACAGATACAGATAATTCTCCCGCCCCAAGAGATGGAAAGAACATTGAAATTATACTGGCATTTTTAAAATTGTGCATAAACTTTTGCTTTTTCCTTTTATGCTTAAAACTGATTTTAAAGGAGGTGGGGGAAAACACTTTATAGAGAAAACTAGTGGTAACTTTTTCTTATGGCATTGAGTAGTACAGTTCCAATGGTCAACACTGAGGCATAATGGACTATGGCAGCTTTTCCTCGGGGAATTTGCCGTGAGGTTAACTCTAGTCATAAACATTGAAAGAGGCTCCTCATCCGGGGCAGTTGCCCTCCCAGATCTGGGCACTGATCACTTGGAGACGAAAGCGTGGATTGCAGCTCAACAACTTCCCTGACAACACCCAAGGAAGAGCTCCGAGTCCTTGCCCTTTAAACCATGGGTCACCTCTACCCTTTCTCAGCCCTCTACAAAGCACATGTGTAAATGCAGGGTGCTGAACCCTCACTTACGTAGCTTCAAGCTTCAGAGAACACAAAGGAAATGAAAATGATATAAATCACTTAATCACAGCATGGCTTCTAAACGATTGCTTTCTATTTCAGTGAACATTAGTTTAAAGTCAAATACAAAAGATTATATTTTTAAGGACTTCTTAGGTCATTACTCTGTTCTGTCGTGGGCAAACATATGTAACGGGCTACATCTTGACTCTTGCTGGTGATGGCCTTTACTGTCAGTTTTAAAGTTACCAGTCCACTTGGTTCCAGGCGGGCCTTGGTTCCCTTAGGAAGCCTTCTTACCACTGTCAGATATGGGAAAAGTTCTACCAAAAAACAACCCAGTAAGCCTGGCATGCCTCAGGGACTGACACACATCCTGCCCCTTCAGTTCTTTTTCTCAGATTTAGTGCTCCCTCAAACCCCTACACTGATTGGTCCTTATCTTTCCTTTGGATAGAAGAATCATTTATGTTAATCAATTTGGGCTAAAAAAAAGTCACTTCCCAGTTTTTCTGGTTTGGTCATTACACTAAGTAATCAGGTTAATGCTTAACTTCAATTCCCTTTTTGTAGTATTCATATAATCTTGAAATAGATTAACACACTTACAAAAAGCTTTTACTTTATCTTTTTATAGATATGTACACGAATACTTTATTTCCCAGTATCCAAATTTTTATCTTTCAATATAACTTCCCACTAAAGAGAACCAGAACTTGTTGTAGGAATAGTGGATTCTACATCTGAGGCAGAAAATAGATCAAGTATTCCTGGAACAAAATAATGGAGCAGGAAAGAATGGGAATAGGCTTGTAGACTTAAAGAAAACCATTGACGTGATTTTACAGTTGGTAAGACTGTGTGCTCAGAACAAGGGATGGCCTGCAAAGCATATTCTACTACTGTATATTTTTAAACCAAAATTATACAAAGAAAAATTTCATTTATAATATCAAAGAATCTCTTGCTAATTCCAGATCCTCAGCCCTGCCCCTGAGAGCACTCTCTGTAACAATTGCAATTAAAAATATAAGCATAGGTATACAATACACATGCAATTTTAAAAGCCACAATTGGTAACTTATTGTACTCATTTTTTCTCTAACTGATAGTATTTTATATTAGCAGCCTTTTTAAAAACTATTTTTGCAGGACTTGAAAGATGGTTCAGGAGTTAAAGTACTTGTAGCTCTTACAGAGGACTGCAATTTGTTTCCCAGGGTCTAGGTTGGTGACTCACAACCCTGTAACTCCAGCATCCGGGGATCTGTTATCCTCTTTTGCCTTCTCTGGACACTGAACACTAGCACACATGCACAGACATGGTAGCACACACATGCATACACACGCGCACACACACACACACACACACATTTAACATTTAACACAGGGTCTCATTGTGTAGTCCTAGTTGGCCTGGAACTCATTATATAGACCAGACTGACCTTGAACTCACAGAAATTTGCCTGCTCCTGCCTTTCAAATGTTGGGATTTTTGTTGTTGTTTTTCGAGACAGGGTTTCTCTGTGTAACAGCTCTAGCTGTTCTGGAACTCACTTTGTAGATCAGGTTGGCCTCGAACTCACAGAGATCTACCGGCCTCTACCTCCAGAATGTTTGGATTAAAGCCATACACCAACACGCACGGCAAAAATAAGACTTTTAAAAGCATTTTTTTTCAAGTAGCGGGGTTTGAAACTGGAGAGTCACACAGGGTGCTTGAGTGTCCCAGGCTGTGTCTCTAGACTTCTTTTGTGTGTGAGTGGTTTTGAGGCAGAATCTTACTTAATTGCTCAGGCTAATGAACTGGAATTACAGCTATTCCACAATGCCCCACAACAGTTATTTTTAATACAAGTATGTTTATGCATTATAGCATTTGGGGATTTATAGTTTACATATTGGGTTTCTTTCAAATTCCTTCGATGTGATCGAGAGATTTTGGTCCGAATATTCACCAATTTCATGATTGTATGCCAACAAAACAAAACGAAACGGTTGAAATAGGGCTAACCAGATTGCTGTATCTAATTTTCAAGAGGTTTAAAAGCTTAGATTTCAGTTTGTATTTGGTGTGTTTGGGGGGCATTACTGTTACCTTGAAACTGTTTTAAAACACACCCTCTACTCCCAGAGTCTTCTAAGATATGAATACCAAAATCTTCCCAATCTCTCCTAGGTACATTCTTGGGGAGACTGCAGGAACCTACTTCCAATGGAACAGATTACCCTCTAAACCAACACGATAAAGGTAAATGGGGTCAGCGAGTTGAATTTAGAAGTGAATCAATATTAAAAGGCTCAAAGGAGGTGAATCTAGGAATGCAAGCAGGGTGGCCGTGTTACTGGATCCTAATATGAATTAATCAGAGTGCTGAGGTACAAGAAATTAGAAAAAATGTAATGTGTCCGGACGGTGAGAAGTGTTATGACCAAATCTGCGGGGCAGGACACAGGGAAACACTGTCTCAAAAATCAAAACAATTGTTAAAATAAGGCTCTACAGGCTGTAGTCCTAGTGGGCTTTGGGGGATCCTGGACGGCCCCCAAATGTTATGCCCAAATCTGAGGGTCCCCACAAAAGACAACAAAGGAGACCGAGTCTCATATGTAAAAGCAAAGAGCCTTTATTTTAATCAAGTTTGCAAACTTGGTCTCTCCACACGTCCAACGTATTGGAATATCCGGAGAGCCTCCAGCTCAATTAGAATTGAGTTTTTACAGTAGTTAAGGTGGGGGTGAGGGGTTTCTGAGGTCCAGGACCTCTGATTGGCTGACATCTGTCTAGGGGTGTCCTGGTGAAAGTGCGGTGGCAGGTGATCCTATCTACAACGGTTGGAATGCCAGGCATTTCCTTTGATTGGTCTGTTCCTGGGTGGGGGGTCGGGTAATCTTAGCTTGTGGTTCCTCCTGCAGCCAGGCATGGCCTCAGGGTAAACTACTGGGACTCCGGCTACTTAATAAATTTATCAATGGCTAAGTTCTACTCTGGCAAAGAACTTCCTTTGGGTGACCTGTCCATATTTAGCTTATTATGGCTGGCCCCCCACAAGAAGCATTACATATTAATGCTAAGCACAGCTACATTACGTTCCACGGCTCTTTTGTAAATGCAAACCATATAAGGATTCACAACCTCAAACAGGCGCCAGGGAAGGTCTGCAGCGGCCCGCCCTGCAGGTCGGACCAGCCGGTAGGCCTGGCCGCTGTGAGCACAGGTCACCGCGAGCCCTCGGGCGACCACAGAGAGCGGCCAGGTCTCCGCAGAGCTGTTTCCTCTGTCCGCGGGCGGGCAGTGACTCGGTACCGCCCAGGGCGTCAGCGTGACCCGAGGCTCAGTGAACCCTGAACTCACCGCCCCAGCCAGCTGCACAGACCCGGGCAGGCGCTTGCTCGCGCACGGGGGTGGGGCTTTTTCAGGCTGCTGACTAAGATGGTGTCGGCTGGACTTCCCGGGACCGCCGCCTAAGGGGATCGAGGGCCAACAGCCGGAGGGACCGCCGAGCCCATTGTCCCGCCCGGACAGGACCGTGCGGAGCCCGTAAGTTCCAGACTCGAAGAACCGAAGCACAGCCAAGTACGCCGTGGGACCTAACCAGTGTTTAAGAGAACGCCGAAAGCGCGGGGAGGCGGGCCTGACTCCCTGTCACCATCTCGCGACAGCCAAGTGACGTCGCACAGCAAGCGCGTGTTCTAGGCTTTCACCTTCAGACGCCGCAGTTTACGGGCCTGCTCCTTTAAGTAAGTGATGGACAGCGCTTCTACCCTATTGGGTCTCTCGCCCACAGCCAATCAGATTTAAACTTCCTCCAGCCGCCGGAGAAGTTGGAAGACTGGGGTCGAAAGAGAGCAAGAGAGTGAGCGAGAGGGAGCTCTTTGTCTCTCGCGAGATCGGGGAGAGCTAAGTTCTCGGGGGAAAAAAAAGCAACAACAACAGAAAACAACAAAAAACCCCAAAACGCCAGAACTGATGTCCAGACTTCCCAAGTAGTGGCTTAAAGGACGTGGTCACAAGCCAATGAGAGGGAAGAGAAGGTGGGCTCGCTGCGTTCGCCGTGCTAGGAGTACCGTTACAGGGCAGACTTTTGGTCCAATCAACGCTTCCAGGCTTTGGGTCAGGTGACCATGAAGTGCGAGGGGCGGAGCCACGGCCTGGCGCGAGGAACCGTTAAGATAGACAACGAATATAACCAATGAGGTACTCCGACTCGGGCGTTGGGAACCCAATAACAGCGTCGAGGCGGGCGCCTTCCCGGAGCGCGGGGAGATGTAAAGACGGACAAATAGTTTTTCCAATGAGAAGGCTGAAGAGTGAATTAATTGACCAATGAGGTCTGCGGGGCGGGAGCCTTTGCCGCGGCGGAGTCCAAGATGGCGGCGTGCGAGTCCGCTGTGTGAAACGAGCGCGGGGTGGCGGGTTAGTCAGCTCCGCAGAGACGACCTCCGGCGACCCTCCACAATGAAAGGGAAGGAGCGCTCGCCGGTCAAGCCCAAACGCTCCCGCGGTGGCGACGACTCCAGTTCTCGCGGAGAACGGAGCAAGAAGTTAGGGGGGTCTGGCGGCAGCAATGGGAGCAGCAGCGGGAAGGCGGACGGCGGCGGGTCGCGGCGGAGCCTCCACCTGGACAAGTCCAGCAGCCGAGGTGGCAGCCGCGAGTATGACACCGGCGGGGGCAGCTCCAGCAGCCGCTTGCATAGTTACAGCTCCCCCAGCACCAAAAATTCCTCAGGCGGGGGCGAGTCGCGCAGCAGCTCCCGGGGTGGAGGCGGGGAGTCACGTTCCTCCGGGGCCGCCTCCTCCGCGCCCGGCGGCGGGGACGGCGTGGAGTACAAGACCCTGAAGATCAGCGAGCTGGGGTCGCAGCTGAGCGACGAGGCGGTGGAGGACGGGCTGTTCCACGAGTTCAAACGCTTCGGTGATGTAAGTGTCAAAATCAGCCACCTCTCGGGTTCTGGCAGCGGGGATGAGCGGGTGGCCTTTGTGAACTTCCGGAGGCCCGAGGACGCGAGGGCGGCCAAGCATGCCAGAGGCCGCCTTGTTCTCTATGACCGGCCTCTGAAGATAGAAGCCGTGTACGTGAGCCGGCGCCGCAGCCGCTCCCCGTTAGACAAAGATCCCTACCCGCCGTCGTCCAGCGTGGTGGGAACCTCCGTGGGGAGCCACCGGCACGCCCCTGGAGGAGGCGGCGGTCAGAGGTCACTTTCCCCTGGCGGGGCCGCGTTGGGATACAGAGACTACCGGTTGCAGCAGTTGGCTCTTGGCCGCCTGCCTCCTCCACCCCCACCACCATTGCCCCGAGAGCTGGAAAGAGAACGAGACTATCCGTTCTATGACAGAGTGCGCCCAGCTTACAGTCTGGAGCCCAGGGTGGGCGCTGGAGCGGGGGCTGCTCCTTTCCGAGAAGTGGATGAGATCTCACCCGAGGATGATCAGCGTGCCAACCGGACACTTTTCCTGGGCAACTTAGACATCACTGTGACAGAAAATGATCTAAGAAGGGCTTTTGATCGTTTCGGAGTCATCACAGAAGTGGACATTAAGAGGCCTTCTCGGGGCCAGACCAGTACCTATGGTTTTCTTAAATTTGAGAATCTAGACATGTCTCACAGGGCTAAACTAGCAATGTCTGGCAAAATTATAATTCGAAATCCAATCAAGATTGGTTATGGTAAAGCTACACCCACTACCCGACTTTGGGTGGGTGGCCTGGGACCTTGGGTGCCTCTTGCTGCCCTGGCACGAGAATTTGATCGATTTGGCACCATACGAACCATAGACTACCGCAAAGGTGATAGTTGGGCCTATATACAGTATGAAAGTTTGGATGCAGCTCATGCTGCCTGGACCCATATGCGTGGATTCCCACTTGGTGGCCCAGATCGTCGCCTTAGAGTAGACTTTGCAGACACAGAACACCGTTACCAGCAGCAGTATCTTCAGCCTCTGCCCTTGACTCATTATGAACTAGTGACAGATACTTTTGGTCATCGAGCACCTGACCCTTTGAGGAGTGCTCGGGATAGGACACCACCCTTACTATACAGAGATCGTGATAGGGACCTTTATACTGATTCTGATTGGGTGCCACCCCCACCACCAGTTCGGGAACGCAGTGCTCGTGCTGCAGCTAGTGCTGTGACTGCTTATGAGCCCCTGGATAGCTTGGATCGAAGGAGGGATGGCTGGTCATTGGACAGGGACAGAGGTGATCGGGATTTGCCCAGTAGCAGGGACCAGCCGAGAAAGCGAAGACTGCCTGAGGAAAGTGGAGGACGGCATCTGGATAGATCACCTGAGAGTGACCGGCCACGAAAACGTCACTGCACTCCTTCTCCTGACCGAAGTCCAGAACTGAGCAGTAACAGAGATCGCTACAACAGTGACAATGATCGATCGTCCCGTCTTCTTCTTTTGGAAAGGCCTTCTCCAATCAGAGATAGACGGGGCAGTTTGGAGAAGAGCCAGAGTGAGAAGCGAGACCGTAAAAACTCTGCATCAGCTGAAAGGGATAGAAAGCACCGGACAGCTGCTCCCACAGAGGGAAAAAACCCTCTGAAAAAAGAAGAACGGTCTGATGGCAATGCACCCAGTACCAGCACTTCTTCATCAAAGCAGAAACCTCCTTCCCAGAATCAGGATGGAGGGACAGCTCCTGTTGCAGCATCCTCTCCCAAACTCTGTTTGGCTTGGCAAGGCATGCTTCTACTGAAGAACAGCAACTTCCCTTCCAACATGCATCTATTGCAGGGTGACCTCCAAGTTGCTAGCAGTCTGCTTGTGGAGGGTTCAACTGGAGGCAAAGTAGCCCAGCTCAAGATCACTCAGCGTCTCCGATTGGACCAGCCCAAGTTGGATGAAGTAACTCGTCGCATCAAAGTGGCAGGGCCGAATGGTTATGCCATACTTCTGGCTGTACCTGGAAATTCTGACAGCCGGTCCTCCTCTTCCTCAGCCACATCAGACACTGCCACCTCTACTCAGAGGCCACTTAGGAACCTTGTGTCCTATTTAAAGCAAAAGCAGGCAGCTGGGGTGATCAGCCTCCCTGTGGGAGGCAACAAAGACAAGGAAAACACGGGGGTTCTTCATGCCTTCCCACCTTGTGAGTTCTCTCAGCAGTTCCTGGATTCCCCTGCCAAGGCACTGGCCAAATCTGAAGAAGATTACCTGGTCATGATCATTGTCCGTGGTGCGTCCTAAAGTCCATGTGTAACTTGTATTTACTACTTTGACATGGTTCCTTGTTTTGTGATATGTAATGGGATACAGCATCAGATAAATTTCTTTCAATTAGTTTAGTTGGTTTTTTTATATCTATATTTTTGTAAACCTTCTTAAAATAGATATTGGGGCAGTTTAGCTATTATTTTGAGTGAAAGGGATGCCCTGAAGGTAGCAAGAAAATAGATTTGCTTTAATTAGGAATTATTTTCGTTTTCTTCAGATTTTTTTTTCTTTCTCAGCCTTGAGTTTAAAAAAATCCTTAAAATGATAAAACCCACAATTTTTAGAATCATAATTTGGAGAAAAGAGCCTTCTGTACTGAAAAAAATAGTTTGGTTGGTATGTAGATAATTCCTATACTAGAAGCATTGATCAGGTATTGCAAAGTTCATTTATTTTAATCAGGTATTGGAGTATTTTTCTTTAGTTTATTCCCAGAAAGTTTGCTTTAACATTTATATCATTAGTTTTTGAGTTTTGTATCCTGTGTTTGTAACAGTAACTGGTAAAAATTGAGACTTGTGTTACAAACCATTTACATCTTAAGATGGTCTGCAAGAAATGAGTAAGTGCTTTTAAAATGAGAATTTTTTGGTAAGTTAGGTGCACGGTGGTGTTTTTTAATTGACTTTGAGAGGTGTAGCAAATCTAATTGTGTATACTTAAATCAAAAATGAAGTTTTTTTGTATCCATTTAAGAAATTTCTAATTTCAGTAATAGAAAGATTTGTCTGCAGGCTTATATGTAATCCTTTTTATTTCCCTTTGTGCACATTAATCAGACATCTAAATTACACTTTTTTAAAAAAGGTTATTGTAAAATGCCCTTGATATATTTGAAGAAAATTCCATAAATTTTTATTTTCATATTTAAACAGGAGTAGCGGCATTACATTGTTGACAGTGTTTTGAATGTCTTTGAAATTTAATGTTTAATATTTTGACTGCTGTCTGACTGTAGATGTTTGAAGTGTCAGTGTTAGAAAATCTTTTTTTTTATTTCCCCAGTACCTGTAATTAAAATAATTTAACTTACTTGCACAAAACTTACTTTCCCCCATAAACCCACTCACCCAAAATAAAAAGCTGAAGATAATATGACATTTGGTTCTTAATAAGGGCTTCGGTTAATTTATAATAGTGTTTTTTGTTTGTTTTATGTGCTCCTCTTGCCACTACTTGTGATATATAAGACCATTATTAAATATGATTTTCTTCCTCAATTTAAGTACTGAGGACTTCAGGTAGGGTCCAGTATTTAGTTATGATTAGGAACTTGTGTTTTTGAATCATGGTCGTTTTTTTTCTATTTTGTGAAAGTGACCTACTCAAAGCCTTGCAGAGCCCAAATTTTTTCTTTTTGTTATCAAAGCTGGTAGATTTGAAATAGCATCAATAATAGCCCAGAGAAATGTTATATAATTTTATTTTTCATTGTGACAGGTGTGTAATTCATGTCAGTCTGATAGCCCCATTACCTACTACATCATACTTTCATATTTCACTATTTATAATTTTTATTTTAATTTGGAGGCTTTTGAGAAAAAGAATGTACTAGGCTTATGAGCACAAAGGACCTTGGTGTGCCTGTAGGAAAAATACCTGAAATCTAAGACTTTTATTGTCTTTTGTTTCCAAAACCAGTAGTGGTGTGATATAGACATCTATTCAGAAGCTGATGCAAGTATAGTCTGTGTACATGGAGTTTAAGTATAGTTTTTAGTTAGGTAGATAGATTTTTCCAGTTTAAATAATTTCGCTAGCCATTAACCTTTTAGTATTTTGTTGTTGTTGTTAGATAGTTGGGCAATGATTTTGCTGTTAGAGAGTGAAGTCTGTGACATCTAATTTTACTATTAATCAAATGTGTTGTGATGATTTTCCTTTTTTAGGGACATTGTTGGTTAATAGCATATTGAAGAATATCGATTTTTGCTCCATGTTTGAACCCTTATCTGACACTGCTACATTTTGTTAGATCTGATCGACTAGTGCTTCAGTGTTTTTGAAACAGTGGCTTGCTGCTATTTCCAAATATATGTATTATGTATATTAGTTGGGTGCTTACTTACAAAGTGCCATCATCTTATTTGTGTTGCCCACTCCTGTGCAGGTTTATAATATCTGTTAATTAAACCTTCAGAATTTGATTGAAAGCAATCTAAAACTGCTTCTAGATCTCATTAGCTGGTTCAGAATCCCATATTGGATATTCTTTTAAAATTTTTAAAACATTATTTTATGCATATGGCTGTTTTGCCTGCGTGTATGTCTATACCACATGCTGGCTGCTATTCCAGAGGACCCAGGTTTGGTTCCCAGCACCTAGTCCCAAGGGATCCAATACCCTCTTCTGGCCTCTCTGAATACTCCTTTAGCAGCCCTTTTTTTCTTTTTCTTTAATAACTTTAGTACTTTAACTTTTTTCCTTCCAGAAAGTACTAAAATGAATAGAAAGAAAATTTCTTAAGTATGCTATTTATGTATTAAATATACTGGTAAAAATAAGATAAGACTTTATGATCACAGCTTCAAAGTGTATGGAAACTTAAGCAATCGCCCAGCTTCTAGCAAATGGTTCTACTTAATTGTGGAGTATTGTTTTACTGGTTGTAATAGGGATTCCTCCTGTAAAGAATTTTTCATACAGAAACCTAAATTTTTAATGTGTACTTTGTACACTGTCAAACTGAAGATGAGTTTCTTTTTAGAATCAAATCTCTTAAAATGTACATCCTCTGGCTTTCATAAGCTTTTATTATTTTGAAGGTTGTAGTCTCTTTGTGACTGACTCACCTAGATCGTTTGATGCAAAGCTGTAAGAGTTTTTCAGAGTCAGATTTCCAGGTTTTCGGCTACTTTTTCTTTCTTTTTTTAAAATTAAGGTAGCTTTTTTTTCCTACTAAAATTGCTCATTTTACAGTACAATTTGAACTGTAGTTTGTGTCCATATAAGAACCATTTACCAAAACTTCTGTAGTAACAGAATTATGAGATCTTTTATGAAAGAGGGCCTTAATGACTTATGTGGGGAAAAATGGAGGCAGTTTCTGCATCCCCCCCCCCCCCGCGTTTGCCACAAAGTCTAATTTTTGAAATAGGAGTAAGGTGTGAGAACAAAAGCCAGAGTAAGCCCTTGCTAGAGCGATATTCTTAATGGTGGGAAATGACTTCAGGTGTTGATGAGGAGTTCTTATGTGTATAATTTGAACATAATTGAAAAGTATGAGTCCTGAAGCGTTCTCTGACTGTTTAGTAAACTGTATGTGTGCATTCTTAACACTACTGTCTTTGGTGGCAGAGAGAAAGGTGGTTTGTCAATGGCCTCTGTAGCTTCGACCCCTTTCTGCAGTCATGGAGTAGTCTGTCTCCATATAAGTTATAAAATAGACATAGAGGGGTTGAAAGTTTGTCTAAACTCAATCTGTCTGTTGTTACACTTTTTAAGTTACATTTAGAGCAGATGTTGGTTAATTATAAGTTGGTCATAAATTTTGCTTTTTCCTGAACATTTGGCCATGTGCTTAGTCAGTTATTTGAGGATAAAGAATATTTCCAGTTCTATAATCCTTGATGACAGTCTTAAAAAAGTACAAATCAAATTCTGTTGTTCTACTTGTTATTTGTGTATTCATATAGTAAATTCATTTCAAGGTTTGTGCCAGTGGATATTATTGGTGCTTTTTGAAGTTAAAGTGGACTATCCAGGAAGGTCTTGTTAATACTATGTTCATCTATAATGGCATAGGGGAAATATATATATTTTTAATACTGTAAACGTTTGTACTGAATAACCTTTTTTTCCCCCTCCCGCAAGCAAAACTGGTGAACAGCGGATGAAGATACGGAATTCAAAGCTCTAATGGACCTTTTTGAAGAGAAGTTGTGGCTCATGTGGAGTTTACATGGGCCTCTGATGGAAGAAAGCTAATCTGTTTAGTATTTTGTGCATTTTACTAAAATGGCAGCTTAACATTGTGTATCTGCTATTGTGATGCCAATGCCGGTGTTTTAAGTGGAAAAATGACCTCTTTGCTTTGTGCTGTGTACACAAGATTTCTGGAAAAGTAAAGAAAAACCCTTTTTATGGCTCACACAGCTTAAAAGTAGCTGTCACTCAAACATGGGCTCACAGTTGAGCTGCTTTTGTTTTATTCTAAATAAATTGTTTCTTTTGAGGAAAATGTTTTTCTGCCTGGAAGTGAATTGACGGCAAACCTTGACCCCTTTGTTTGCAGCTGAGCGGGTACTTGCTGCTGCTCAGATCTTGTATGTCTTGAGCAAGAAGCAGGGAGACCATCAATTTCATTTTGACTATCGCGGTGTGTCAATACTGAAGGATCATAGTGTTACAGTTGACCCCCTTTGTTTGCAGTGAAGGGGATCCTTTGCTTCTCGGTCCTCAACACGATGAGGTTGCTGTTTGCTGGCGTGCAAGAAGCCGGGGCAAGCACTCTAAGCCTCACCAAAGTGCACGAGTCGGGGGCTTTGCTGGTTTGAAGAGCCGGAGTTCCTGAAATTTAAGTTTTGATTTATTTTGTTCACCCATCACGTTTGGCTTTAGTTTCATTTTTTAATTTGAAGAAAAGTTTGAAATTGCATTATCTTGCACTTTTAACATTTGCACCAAATTGCCAAAAGAAGGAGAAATGCTCCGGTTGCTTTTTAAATGTTAATGATGGTGTTAATAAAGCCTTTCCTGACACATTTGAGGAGCTCCTCCATCTCCAGGGGCTTCTTTCCAGAGTTATGCAGTGATGGGTTTAGTTCTGAATGGATGAAGAGTTCCTGAGAGCTAGCGTTTGTAATTAGAACCGTTACTTGGTATCTATGCCTTGTTTGACCTGTGGTTCCACATGCCTTGGATGTGCATGCATCGTGACGGTTTCATAGGTACGAACGCACACTCAGGCCCAGTCACTTCGGTTGGTAGTACAGATTGTGAGGAAAAAAATGGAGGCATCCTTAAGGAGGAGAAAGTATTTGCCTTTAGTTCCTGCATTATCCTGTACAGGGGCTCTTGAGTTTTGGAAGCCTGTTCCCAGTACAGGAGAAAAAACTTCCCTGTTTGCAGCAGAATGCTTCAGTGCACAGTGACAACGCTGGAGTTCAAGAGGAAGCCAGCAATTCTGCACCTTTGGCTTCAGACACCATGGTTGTTTGCCAGTTGTAAACTTAACTAGTTGCAGACGAAGACCACCTTGACATGCAGGCTTGTTTGGGCTTGTTTTGAATTTTAACCTCGGATGGAAGAGCTCTAGTGCTGTCTTGTCTCCATGCGGGATGATGATTGCTAGGCAACAGGTGATTATCAACCAAGGATGCCACGATTATACTCTGCAAGGTGGTGTTCCAGTGGTAAACAGCTGTATAAACTTGTAAACAGGTAAGAGGGTTTTTTAGAGGTCAAAATGATAATTCCTAGGGTGAGGGCATTTAAATGCTTCGGTAATGTTTCTCTGCTTGGAAGTCTTTAGACACTGCTGCTGCTAATAGGCGTCTTCCCCGCATTTAGGTGTTTATGAAATTCGGCAACTTTGTTCTTGATAATTATGTTGTATTTCATTTTTGAGTATATTTTATCATCTGAAATATTTTAACATGGGAGATAAAGTGTTAACATGTTGATTATGGACTTGAGCCTTTGTGTCTTAAAGTTTTGATGTTTGCCATTAACCTTGGAGTTTACCTTTTATTGTGATTAATGGTGCAAGAGGACTTAGAGCTATCAAAACACTCAGGGATATATTTTTTTAATTGGAAATTACAGTTTTTTTATCCAAAATGGTTTTGTATTTTTTTTTCTTTGTCCCTCAAAGAGATTATGAAATTGAAGCAACTGCAGCTTGAGGGAAATGAATAGGCAGTGAAGTCTGACTTAGCCCTAACCATTTTCACTGTTCAGTTATTCCAGTAGCCTGCGGGTCCTCCGTGCACATTAATCAAATGTGGGGAAGAACAGCTCACTTTGTATATCACTTGCTTTAGATGGGATCAGAAATTTTGAATAGAATTGTTCATAACTTCTTCCATAAGACTTAGGGAATCTGCTAATTATAGTAGCTATTCTCTACTGGCTTACTTTCCCCCATAGGTTTGTTTGGGATCCATAGATGGTTTAAGCTACACAGCTTAAATATCTGATAAAAACATTGATAAGAGTGAGAAGGACAAAAATGGGAAAACCGGGCCTTTTCAGGTTCTTGGTGTGTTTTTTACAAGTGTTTATGCTTTTGAGGTGATTTACTTTAGGCTTTGCTAATTGAGCTCTCATTGCATATCTAAACTGTTTATACCTGTTGGAGATTCCAGTTTTCATTGTATTTTCTCTCTTTCTAGTCTTTTAAGTAGTCTACCAATTAGTAGTCAAATATTACAAATAACTGGATATTTAGGAAGACTGTTGCTTTGCTTATGCATTTCTACATGATTAGCTTTTTGTAATCTCAGACTTCCATCTCAAGAATCAGGGAAAAGTTTCAGGTCAGCATTTTTTAATGTATTATGTAAAACCATATGCAAAATGGGAAGGCACACAGTATAACACTGTTTTGAAACTATGGTATTAATGAAATTATTATTATCTTCATTGAAAGTTAATTGATGGAATGTTCTGATTTTAAAATGTGGAAAGTGCTCTTTGAATTTATTTGTATGGTTTTCCAGTATCTTTAGAATAATCTAGATGTAGCATATTGTTCTAGGACACCTCTGAATTAATTTGAGTTCATCTTTAAAAACTTAGCAATGATGGTTAAAATTGAAAATAAGTATTCAAAATAAGTATTGCCATAAGCAAAACAACCTAGATTTTATAAATTGAAATTTTCATAACTTAAATCAGTTGGTTACAAGCTTGTTGTTTACCTAGGCTTTTTTGAGACAGTCTTCTTGCTTATGAAACCCAGACTGGTCTAAACTCAAGGTCTTCCTGCCTTTGCTTCTCTTAAGCGCTAACAGTACAGGCATACAACAGTACATCTGGCTCCACAGCATCTTATTATTAATAACTTGGATCTAGTTTAAATTCTTTTTTTAAAATTTTTTTTAATATTTGTTTATTTATTATGTATGCAATATTGTGTCTGTATGTATGTCTGCAGGCCAGAAGAGGGCGCCAGACCTCATTACAGATTTTTTTAAATTTTATTTTATGTGCATTGGTGTTTTTGCTTGTGTCTGTGTGAGGATGCAGATCCCTAGAAATGGAGTTACAGACAGTTGAGAGCTGCCATGTGGGTGCTGGGAATTGAAATCTGGTCTTCTGGAAGAGGTGCTCTTAACTTCTCTTAAAAGCCCCCTGGTTTTAAATTCTTAACAGGGACTTATTGAATAACAAATTACTTCAAACCTCAGACAAGTTCAGCTTGGCAGCAAAGGGGAAAAAAAAGGTTTTTAGCTTAAAGGACTTGCTGTTCTTCAATTTTAGTGACTGTAGTATTCATCTTCTAGTTGAAGTTTTCAATAGTGTGAATATTGACTATATACTAGGAATCAAGAGTCTGAGGGTACACAATTAAGAAAGTATCAGATAAGGAACTAGGTATAAAGAGATGTCGGTCACCAGGGGAAAGTTTAGTAGTGTTTAAGATAATAGAAAAGATGTAACAGATCGATTGCTAAGGATATAATTTTTTTGCGGGTGATAATGGATATGACAATATGAGTAAGTTTCTGAAGCTGGGATGGTAACTAAAAAGAGGATGTAGAATGAATGGTAGAGGCAGACACACATGAATAAGAATATAGTGTAGCTTGTTGAGTGGAAGAGACAAGACAGACTAACTCCTGGAAAGGAAGGTCAAATGAAATAGGAAATTCTGAAGAGCAAACAAATTTGAGGTGGCGGAAGTGGAGGTGGATCATCAGTTGCAGCTTATTGACAGCAACCACTTACTAAATACAAGTACTTCATGCTAAGCATTCTGCAAAGTGCTATATGTGCATTGCCTTGTTTAAGTTTTCTATATTCTATCTAATCTGATACTATGGACCCAGAGATTCTAACCAGGCCTTTGTCCTGGCTAGGGTTCTCAAGATAATTTATTTTGCCTCACTACTCTCCCCACCTTGCCCAGGGAGACCATAGATAGAATTGAAGCTGTAAACTCTGAGATACTGTGTAGGCAGTTAATTGCAAATGATACTGCAATATCTATAAAATAGGTTCTTTGCTCATTCATTCTATCTACTCTGAGATTTATTGGGACCAGCATAGTCTGGGATTTTGTTCCTTTACAAGTTCTTCAGATAATTCTGCTATGTTCTCTGATCAGTGGGGCTATGTGTTGAATAACACTGTACTGAGAGCATAGAGTGCTGAGGTATAAACCAAGGGTCATGTTTGAGGAATGAAGAAAAAATATAGTGTTTGGAAAGAAGTATAAATAGACCAAAAGCTTCTGTTTCAGAGCTGAGAAGAGTCTAGAAGATAAGCTCAAAATTGTTGGAGTAAACAGGACAGAACTACATACTCTAACTTAAAGCTGCTACCTAAATGCTGAATACTACAGCACGTGCTTCTAATCTCAGTGCTTGGGAGGCAGAATAGAGTTCAAGGCCAGTCTTCAATATTATATAGCAAGACCCTGTTTCAAAATGAAAAATTTGTCATTAAGTAGCAGTTGATCTCTTATTTCTTCAAAGTAGTCCTTTCTTAGTATTTAATTTTGCCTTATCAACAAGGATTGGGGATTTAGCCCAGTGGCTGAGCACTTGGGAAAAGTTATATCTTGGTTAAGTGAAACGTAACAGGAAACTTATTGAGGTATCCTAGAGTCAGATATTAATATGAAAAGAATGTGACTGAAGTCTAAAAATAGCATTTTAGTATGTGTGCCAGTGCATGCACACGCATGCTTTGATGGGCCAAGGGAAATTAACATTTCAGATTACCTATAGAGATTATGATTATATGTTTTTTGGGTTTGTTTACTGGTGTTTTGGTTGTTCTTTGTTTTTGTTTTTAAAATTGGGACTGAAGAGAAAGCTCAGTAGTTGAGAGCACTGGTTGATCTTCCAGAGGACACAGCTTCTATTCCCAGCACCCACATGGCAGCTCCAGTTCCAGAGGATCTGCTGCCCTCTTGTGGCCTTGGTCACAAGGCATGCACGTGGTGTACAGGCATAAACACAGAAATCCATTACATAAAAATGTGTTGTGTATATGGTATGTGTATGTAGGCATACATGTGAAGGTGAGAAGACAGCTTTGTGGAGATGTTTTTTTCCCTTTTTTTTTTTTTTTGGTCTACTTTCATGTGGAATCTTATGACTGAATTCAAGTTTCCAGACCAGACTTTCATAGCAAATGGCTTTACCCACTGAGCCATCTTGATAGTCCTCTTTAGAGTGTTTTAAATTTTATTTTTTGGTGATTGAACCAAGGCTTCTTGCATGCTCAAGTATGTGGTATACCATTGAGTTTCACTTAGTTTTCTTTATAATTCTACAAGTGTTATTTCTTTAATATTTTATTTTTCAGGCTTATTTTTTTTTACAGCTTCTAACTGTTGACCACCCTGTGCTTTCAGAATGGTCTTCCTAGTACATCATCATCATTTGCTGCTTGATAGTCTCTGTTTCATTAAACTCATGAAAATTTTCATTGTAGTCATATATAGTTTCTGAAATACACTTTCTGTATTTCAAAATTCGTAATTTTTTAGTGGTATCAAGCTAAATTTATTCTGAAATTTAAAGAGTGTAGTTGGACATGTTAGCACACGCCTTCAGTCCTTGTGCTCCACAGGCAGAGGCAGGTGGATCTCATCTCTATTTTTGACACCAGCCTGGTCTACATAGCAAGTTCCAGGCCTTCCAGGAATGTGTAATGAGACTATTTTTAAAGAGAAAAAAGAAAAAAAACCTTCAAAAATCTTTCCATTAAATGGCTGTCATCAAAACAAACTTTAATTGTATAAATCTATTGTGTGATTTCTCAGGTAACTAGTGAATTTCCTTTTTACCCAGGAAAAGGACTCAATGATTTCTTTTTACAGGTGAACCTGTTAGTACACCTATGTTAAAAGTAGAACTCTTATAAAATTTACGATGAGGTGCTATGTATTTTTATTACATATTTTAATGCATATTGAAAAATCAGTATCCCACATAATTGCATTTTAGTATGTAGAAACCGAATGTTAATAGTTTACTTGTCTCCCAAGATGTGTATCTTATAGCTTAGTGTAATTTTTTGTTTTTAGACAAAGTCCCTTGTAGCCCAGGCTGGCCTAGAATTCTCCATATAGCCAAGGGTGAGTTGGAACTTCCCTCTTCGTGTCTCTACCTTCCAGGTGCTGGGATATGCCATTATTTGTTTGTTTCTGCATTCTGAAGTAGAGTTCTCAACCCTGATTATACGTAAGAACCTTCAGGAACTTTGGGAATTTTAATTATTCCTCAGGTTCCTGAGGTATTTCCTCAGGTTGATTTGAATTGGGGTAGATAGAATGACTTTGCAAAGCCTCAGAAATTGTTTTTCTTTAGTTATAAGTGTGCAGGTGATTCTACTGTCCTGCCAGTGTTGAGAGCCACTGCTCTAGAGGCTTAAGTTTATACATACTCAAAAATACAGACCTGAAGCCGGGTGGTGATGGCGCACATCTTTAATCCCAGCACTCTGGAGGAAGAGGCAGGTGGATCTCTGAATTTGAGGCCAGCTTGGTCTACAAGAACTAGTTCCAGAACAGGCTCCAAAGCTACAGAGAAACTCTGTCTCATAAAACCAAAAAAAAAAAAAAAAAAGAAAGAAAGAAAGAAAGAAAAAGAAATACAGACCTTTTAAGAAAACAAAAATCAGTATAATATATATATATTGCATAGCTCCTATGATCCCTGCGGCCCAAAGTTTGGTCACAGCCCACTAGCATTAGTATCTCTTGGAAGATTGTTAGAAATGTAGAATTGTAGCGCCTCACCTCAGACCTGTTGATGGGGTGGAGATCTGCAGTTAACTCATGGGTACATTACAATTTGGCAGATGTTTGCCTAGCATGTGGGAGTCACTGGGTTTGAGCCCCAACATCATGTACAGACACACAAAAGTTTAAGAATCTGCTTTTGATCTAGATACATTTATGGTATTATATGATTTATCATCAGAGATTGGTTTTTAGTGGAGAATTAAGTAGATGAGGGATTTTGTTGTTGGTTGTTGTTTTGCGACACCCTTGGTTTGTTTTCTTTCCTTTAGGGATGACTGAGGTACATACATATATAAACTTTTTTAAAAAACAGTATTGGATTCCTCTCCTTACTTTTTTAATTGCCAAGTTTAAAGGTAGCCTTTTAAGTACAGTAACTGGTTAAACATCTTTTTTTCTTCCTGGGTTTCTTTTTAGGAACTACTGACAAAACCTATAGCTGACTTTTGGATATGACTTTATTGCTCAGCAACTAAAAGATGAGTTCTAATTGCCAGACTCTGGTACTGGCATTGTCCTCCTGTTTCTATAGAAACTGGGTTGGAAGTCAGAGCTGCACAGAGGGAAAGGGTAAGTTTCTTTTAATTCCATATTATAAACCCATATCTTACCAGCTATGGCCTGGTATCAGTTTCCACAATGGAATGAGTGGTAAAGTATTCTCAAATAGGAACTACTAATTTTTACTTGGAAGGAAACTGACATCAAGTCATTAAACATAATGAGGGTTTAAATATGGATTTATTTTTCTGGTGACTCTGACTTCACCTTTCTTAAAGGAATGAACTCAGTAGAATTATCACTGTCAGTTTAGTTTTTACTCAAGGGGGGTCACAATATTGATTTTTTTTTTAAATCCTACTCTGTTGTACTTTTGGTAAGTTAGAGTAGCGTAGAGCAAATATGTATGGGGGCATTGTAAAAGTCTGTATGGATTGTGTTTCTTTGTAGAGTTCCAGTTCTTTTTTCCATTGTAAAACAAGTTCTGTTCTACTGACCACCAGTTCTTAGCCTCTTTTCTCTTTTAGCTAAAGGATAGGTGCCTCTCTTGGGGCATATGCATGTGTTATCTAGGCTGGGACCTATTGTTTGTAGATTTTAAGACACCTGCCAATTGGTGAGTCATCCTATTGCCATAGCTTCAGAGGGCTTTACTAGATAGCAGTAGAATTTAGACATGAAGTTGTTTTACTTGATAATGCAAACTCCTACAATTTACAGGGTAGTACATTTAAATAACCTTAAAATCTGACTTAGCTTTGAGATGGAAAGAAAGACATTATAAGCTCTCACTTTTAAAAACATAAAAGGGTATATTATTACATACGAATAAATGAATAAAGTGATCTTTTCCCCACTAAAAGAACATAAGTGTTAGTTGTGCAGACCAGAGAGAAGTATGTTTGGCTTTATTTATATCTAGATCTGTCACTTGTAAAAGTAGTGTGCTGTAAAAGTTGGCCAAGTGTGGAGGCATACTCCAAATCCCAACATTTGGAGGAAGAGGTTAGAGGATTGTGAGATTGAGACCAGCCTGGACTACGTAGTGAGATCCTGTCTGAAAAAAAGAAGTTGGAGGTTTATCAGTGTGAAAAGTAAACTCTTATTAAACATGTTCTGAAATTGGGTTATTATTAAAAATTTTATATGGCTTTCATTAGTTTCTGTTATGCTAGCTGGAGCTTGTATAAGGTACAGAATTGAATTAGTGACTTATTTCTTTTTTTTTTTTTTTTAGGGGAAAGCAAGAGCAGGAAGATGGCTAGAAAGTTTGGCATACTCCTTGTTGTCAAACGTTCAGACACATCTTTTGCTTAAGAATAGTCAGTTTGTCCTAGTTTTAAAATAAATTCAGGAGCTCATCAGGCTGGAGAGGTGGCTCAGTGGTTAAGAGCATTTGCTATTCTTCTGGAGGATCCAGGTTCCATTCTCAGCACCCACATGACAGCTCAACCATTTGTAACTCTAGTCCTAAGGGTTCTGTTGCCCACTTCTGGCCTCCATGGGCACTGTGTACATGTGGTGAACAGACATGCATGTAGGTAGAACGTTCATAGACATAAAAATAAAATCTTTAAAAGTCTAGGAAACCCTCTTCTGACCAGCCCAGACAGTCACTCTAATCCAAGTTCACTCTACATCCCTAAAAAGTTCTCACTAAAGTTTAGAGGTTTGTAATAGAGCTTTTCGACTTCGTTGTGTTTTAGACAAGGTCTTGCTATAAAATCTAGGCTAGTCTCAAGTTGTTGACGGTCTTGCCTTGTCCTGAATGCCGAGGTTGTAGGCAGTGTGTCACCACACAGCCTGCTAAGTTGTCCTGAATGCCAAGGTTGTCGGCAGTGTATCACCACACACCCTGCTAAGTTGTCACTGCTCATTGTCTTGTACCCAAACATTCTATAGTACAATAGCGTCTGCCAGAAAGGATCAGTGGATGGGAGTCTCATTGTGTGGTACTTAGGCTGGCCTGAAACTCAGGAAAAGCCTCCAGTGTCAGATTGCAGTAATTCCATAGGTTTGTCTTTCTGCTTTATCTATTTTGTTTTTATTTTCTGTGTATTTGTGTTTGGGTTTGTTTGTTTTTGCTGTTGCTTTTTGTCTTCGTGTATTTCTGTTTACCACATGTGTGTCTGATGCCTAAGGAAGCCAGAAAGATGGCATCAACATGGTAATTTTTTGTTGTTGTTTTTAAGAACACAAGTGCTAAATATAAGTCAACCTGATATGACTATTTTGGTAAAATGTATTTAGCCTGTAGCTCAAGGGCGTTTGCCACTGGGAGACTAGAAAATTATTAAAGCTGTTCATTTTATTCACTTGTCATCTTCTGGAAGCTGCATTGTTGTTACACTATAGCAGGTAATATCTAATGGTTGTGGTTTTAATTTCAGGGAGTGGGTTTATTCTTAGTATAGTTTTAGGTCAACTTTGAGCTAAAACAAATTTATAGCTGTTTCAATAAAGCTACTTTTTATAATTTGTTGATACTTACCAAGAAGTAAAGGTAATATAAAGGAAGAATGGGGAGGTTTTGTGTTGATTGTTTGAGCTGTGACTTCACTATTTACTGAATATTGTGTTTCTTTGATTTTTTTTTTAATACTCATTTGAAAAATGGGCACTACAGATAAAGCCTCTGAAGGTTTTGTAAAGATTAAGATTAAGCTAGGCAGCTGGGCAGTCAGTAGTGCAACCTTTAATCCGGCGTGTGGATTTCTGAGTTCAAGGTCAACCTGGTCTGTTGAGTAATTTCCATGTCAGTCAGGGCTGTACAAAGAAACCCTGTCATCTTCCCCCATCCCAGCCCATCTCCCTAAAAAAGATTAGGCTAGGCATGGTGACACATGCCTATCTATAGTCCCAGGTTCAGAAGTTCAGGGTTATCCTCAGCTACTAGAGTTGTTTCAGGCTAGCCTGAGCTGTATGGGACCCTGTCACAAAAGACCATATAAATACCTAAGTGTATGAAATTAGATACTTTATACAAAAAAGTGCACAGCTAGTTGAAAACTGGTGCATGTCTGTAATTCCAGCTACTCAGAAGGCTGAGGCAAAACTGAAGGCTGCATGGGCTGTATAGCGAATTTTAGACTAAGGTGGACAATTTCATGAGAACCTGTCTGAAAATTTAGAAACAAGTACACACAGTTATATTACTAGACAGTTATATTATTATTAACTGGTGACAGTTATGTTATTAGATGTTGACATACTCAGTTTCTCCTGTACCCATGCTGTCTAATTTTGTGTGTGTTTGTGCCTCATAGGGATCTCTTGAGGAAAAGGGGAAATAGTGAGTATTGTGTTTTTCTTAAACTGCATATGTATTTGGGCTGATAGTTCTGTGTTACAGGTTTCTGGAAAAGGGGAAATAGTGAATATTGTGTATTTGGGCTGATAGTTCTGTGTTACAGGTTTCTGGAAAGTAGTTATGTGACATCATATTGTCAATTAAAATGATAATACAGTGAAGGAGTAGAAATAGTAGACGGGTATTGTTTATACAATCTACATATTAGTTGTAGAAGTCTTTAGCTTTCTAATTCTGGGGATTTGGACTTGCTTTTTTTTTCTTTCTTTGTACTTTGAAACATTAAACAGCATGACCTTTAACTTGTGACCTCCCTGCTCCCTGCCTCCATTTTTGGGGTTCTGAGAGTACAGGTGTGTGCAAGTTTCTTGCGTGAGATTCAACCTTTCTCAATTCATATTTTGAGGGCCTTATTATTGCTTAGTAGGATGAAGGACTTGTATAAGATTGATAAAGTCCTTCTAAGTTAAGTTAATTTGGAATTCTTTAGTTAATCTTACAGTTTGCTTTAATAGGAAAGGTCTAGATTGTTGAAATCTTTTGAAAATAATTGCTCCTCAAAATGGAAAAGGAAATTTAGAGTGGTTCCTGTTGATTTTATCCTTTTGACATAGAAGACAGAAGAAAGGCAATAAAATTAGTTGCTGTTTATGAAGGATATTTTGCACAGAAAGTATATTTTCATTTAATCTTCACAGTGTAATCTGTGAGATAGGTAGGTGGTGATATCCTCATTTTACAGAGGAGAAAGTTGGGTTTCAGTCCTTGAGCAACTTAGGAGGTCATATGGCAGCCAATGAAAGAGCTTAGATTTGTTAGTGTGCTGCTTGTGTGAGGGAGTCATGTTTTTAAAGACGTTTATGTGTATGGGTATTTTGAATACATGTGTCTTGTACCTTGTGTTTTCCTGGTGCCCAGGGAGGCCAAAAAAGGGTGTAGCATCCCCTGTATTTGGAGTTAGAGACTGTATATGAGCCACTATGTGTTTTAGATATTGGAACCTGGATTGTTTGGAAGATCAGCAAGTGTTCTTAACTGCTGAGCCATCTCTCTGGCCCGATATTCTTATTTTTATTTATGTTGTATATTTAAGTGTAAAATCCTGTAGCTGGTTATGGTGATACACACCTGTAATTCTAGGAAGTTGAAGCAGGATTGTGGATTTAAGGCCAGCCTGGCCCTGTTTAAAATAAATAGATGTGTAAAACCTACCTTTTAAATAAGAGTAACTTACTGTCTTTGAGATAGCTGAGATTTCAGATTTATTTGGTTCCAAAGTTATAACAGGCCTTGGAAACATCTTGTTGCTATTACAAACTAGAGAAAATTGTAATGTGAGCTTATAGAGTCCTCGTTTTAAAGCTAGACAGGGAGCTGGAGATGGAGCTTAGTGTAGTGTGCTTGCCTATGCTGCCAAGGGTTCAGTCTCTAGCACTGTAAAAGAAGTTAGGTGAAATTCCACAAGTTGGGAAAGTTGTTCCATCTGAGTATTCAGTGAGCCAGATTGTAAGTGGTAAGTATGAGTAGACCTGGTCAGAGAAGGCAAACTTCTGGAATTATAGCCGATGGCAAAGTTTGCACAAAGGCTTATTTGAAAAGTATCAAGGTGGGCATCTTGGAACCAAATTTAAGCTTTCAGTTTAGGGTTTTTCTTTATTAAGGAATCAGTAGATGTTTGAAAGCAGAGAAGAGTGAAGGGTGGAATAATAATAGTTGGAATATTCTGAAAGATGTTAAGGGATTTGTATTGCAGAAAATGGTTTTTATTTTGGACACAGTTCATAATGCGTAGCCCACACTGGACTCCAAACTCAATATGTTCTCTCACTTTAGTTTTCTGACTTGCTGGGACTTCTGGTATACACCACCATTCCCTGCTTAGAAAACCCTTTTTTATCCTTTTAAAGATCACCCAAACAGCCAAGAGCTCATTATTCACAGGCAAGAACCATTCATTACTAATTAGCTATAAATGATCCACACCTTTTGAACAAACATAGTTTCTCCTAAAGACTCCTTTTCAACTTCCATATGGAACTTACAGCTCTGAAGAATCATCTAGATGCTTTGTATAAATATTTTAGATAATTAAATGTAGTGAAAAGATAATACTGTTTAGGTGGGCAGTACTACCTTTCAAATGGTTTTCAAATAAAGATTATTATATCAAATTTTATTTCACTAGTAAGTTAAGAGACAAAATAATTGAAGATTATTATAATCAATAAACAACGATAAATTATTTTTGGAGGGGATATACCATTCTTGTCACTATGAAAGACTTTATTCAGATTCTAGAGCTCTAGTCAATCAATTACTATATTTAAAAAAAAATAGTTTACAGTTGTTACATTTTGGTGACAGACTTACCATAGCACAAATGAAAGTTTGTATTTATTATAGGTACATTCTGATTTTCATTTAATAGGTCAAATAGCTGCTTCAACTGATTCAATTTTTAGCCTGTTTTGTTAAGTACCAACAATTGGACATTTTCAGCAGTGCTAATAAAGCAAGAAGGAATCTTAAAAATTATATGGCTTACTTTCTCATTTTTACAGAGATTTTTGTTCTACACTTTTGTTTCCAGTGACTTGTTTAGATTTTCTTTCGTTAAGCTCTCACTTGATTGTAGTCCTTCGAAGGTCAGGTTGTTTGCTTTTCCATCTTTCAGCCAGTGGTACAAAGAAAAGGGAGACTGAAGAGAGGAGATAGCAGGTGCCGGAGAAGTAGAAAGAGCCTGTGTATGTCTGTGTATAATCATATATCCAGCCTGTAAGGAAGGAGTGGTTTCTGTTAATGAAGTGAACTTTTCTGTTTGTAATTCTCAAGCTAGTTTTAGACTTTGGAGAAAGGGGCCTCATCTTCCCAGTCTGTATTGTGAGCCACTGGAATTAGTACAACTTCTCTCCTGTCTTACTTGAAACTGAATCACTTTCATCTAAGTAGAAACTTGAATCATTAAAAAAGTCATTGTGGACTCAGAAACGTGTCTTAGGGTGGAGATTGGAGAAAATTAGCACTTCATTTTATGATACTCTTACAAGAAGACTACTGTTTGCTTACAAAGAAGGTAATCATGAATAACTTTTTTCCGAAGAAGACTGAACCTTCTTTCCTTTACTGAGCTAATATTTGAGTATTTACCATGTTCCTGAAAATAGGCTATGCATCAAGAACAGTACTGAGCCAAATAAACATGATTCCTGCACTAATAAAAGTTGACAGTTTAGTGGGAAAATAGATATTAATCATTTAAATTATGTATTTGGTAAGTTCTATGAAGGGAAGGCTTGGAGGCTATGATATCACATGAGAAGGAACTGTTTGATAAATGTACTGAAGGAATTTTTCTGAAATCTAAATAGTTCATGTGAGAGCACACACATGTGTAGGCATTGGATCAAGGTCCTGATGCATGGTAGTCCATTGAGCTGCGTTCCTAACTGAATGCTCTTTAAGAATAGAAAAAGCCTTGCAGTCTTCTCATCAATGGCACATACTAGAACTTAAGTAAACCATCTTAAAAATAATAGCAAGAAGTGAACATTTAAATGTCCATATAAAAGTCTGTAATGTAATGGTGGTGGCACACTCCTTTAATCCCAGCACTTAGAGGGTAGAGCCAGGGAGATCTTTTTGAGTTCGAGGCCAACTTGCTCTACAGAGTGACTTCCAGGATGAATGAATGAATGAAATTTATGTTCTGGCAATGCTGAAGCATGCATGTGCAGTCCATATATGGCAGTTCTTTTGAACTTGTCCATTTTGGGTTTCATGAGGTCTCTTCCTCATGAGGGCACCAGATCGCTTCACAGATGGTTGTGAGCCACCGTGTGGTTGCTGGGAATTGAATTCAAGACCTTTGGAAGAGCAGGCATCTTAACTGCTGAGCCATCTCTCCAGTCACGATAGCCAGGGCTAAAGAAAAAAAGAAGTCTATACTCTGGAAACATCTTTGTGTTATATGCCTGTGTAGTTCTGGGTTAGGAGATGATAAACTAATGGAGAGAGAGGTAGGAATACTCTGTGCTTATGTGTTTTGGCTGTTCTGCCTGCCCCCGACTCATTTGGTTAATTGTTTATTGCCTTTTCTTCATTCTCTTATTTTAGCTCTGACTTTCAGGGTTTGGGGTTTTTGTTACTTGGTTCTGGGGATTGAATCCAAAGTTTCATTTTCATACATGCTAAGTATGTGCTCTACTGCTGAGCTACACTCCCAGTCCCTTTTGTTTTGGTGGTTTGTATTTCCTATTTTTAATGTAATGTATAAATGGAATATTTTAGAGCCTTTTAAATTCAGCTAACTTTAAGGAGTTTATTGATTCCTTACTTGATTCTCTCATTTAAATGTTTCTTGGCAAGTTGAGGGAGTGGAGTGAGGTCAGCTAGGATGAGTCTTTGTATTCTGTGGATGTGACTGACCTCTGACTTTCTAAAAAATAGGTGACTAACCTGAGCTATGGAATTTTCTAGAAAGGAGGGAAAATAGAACAACAACCCCTCTTCTTATGCGTGTATGTGTGTTTACTGTGAATTTCTGAATGGGTATCAAATGTTAGTTAGCATTATAGGAAAAGGCTCGGGGTTCTTGATAGTAATGTAGATAGTGCTAGTAACTATCAGAAGGGCAAAGGTGAAAATGGGTTCAAGAGAGTTGTTTATAAGCTTTTTGCTTTTCACACACCTTTTAAAGAGAATGTTATGTCTGAAACATTAAGGTATTAAAATATATTTACTATTGAGAAGGGGATCATTTGGCATATTTCAAACTGGATGAAATAATTTGTTTTTGAATGTTCTATTTATACTTGGTAATTGAGATACTAGTGTCTTTAAAATTCTAGTTGAGATCCAGAGCCAAATATATAACCTTTATTTTTTAATGATGGACAAAGGTTCACTACTCCAAGTAGATGTTTTAAGACCTATTGAGCTTGAATTTTTAACTTACCTAAAAGCCACTTAAATCTAAGCTTGTTTATTGTGGCTAATAAGGGTTGATCTTACCTAGGATACCTAGTATCAGAAGTATTTTAACATATGTATAATAAGCTATCTTAGGCATGGGACCCAAGTCTAAACAGAAAACTCACTTGTTTTGTGTATACTTTATATACATAGCCTGAAGATAATTTTTGAAATTTCCTCGTTTTATATATATATGTATTTTTACCTGCATTCATGTGTGTATGTTTATGCACCATATATGTGCTTGGTGCCTTAGAGATCAGAAGAGGACATTGGATCCCATGGAATTGAGTTATGGATGGTTGTGAGCTACCAATGTAGATGCTGGGAACTGAACCTTGGCCTTAACTGCTTAGCCATCTCTCCATCCCCGAAGATAATTTTATATAACACTTTTACTATTTTTGTACATGAAACAAACCTATGGTAGGAAATTTTACCATTGTGACATCATGTCACTACCCTCAAATATTTATTGTTTTGAATTTAAAGATGTTTAACTAACATACTTTGTATGTGGTTGTATGGATTATGAAAAAGGGAATATATTGTTCTAAGAGATATTTATTACTATATCTTTCAGAATTTGATTGTTGAACTGAGTTAAGAATTCTGTTAAGAGTTAGAAGCCAGCCTGGTCTACAAAGCAAGTTCCAGGATAGCCAGAAACCCTGTCTCAAAAAACAACAACAAAAACCCTGCTAGGGGCTGCTGAGATGGCTTAACAGGTAATAAAATGGTTCTTGCTACAAAGCCTGGTGGCCTGAGTTCCATCTCTGGAACTCATGATGGAAGAAGAGAACTGACCCCCACAGGTTGTCTGTCCTGTCCTCCACACATACATTGTGGCATGTGCATGTCCACACACAGACTCACACAGTGAGTGCTCAAAAAGAAGGAAAAAGCATCTGTTAGTCTGGCTGTTACGTTTCCACTTATGGTCATCATGTTAGGATTTGAAATAGACCCAGGAAGTCCTTGATCCCAGAGTTCCTTGATGGTCCTTCAACTGTGAGGTTGAGAATTCTGAGACTGAACTTTTCTCTGTTGGATAGGAGGTATAGTGACAAACTTCAAAGATGTATGGACACTGATTTTATTTTATTTCATTTCTTTATGTTGAGATGTGGATCTCACCAGGTAGCCCTGGATGGCCTAGACTGGCTGTGTAGACCAGGATAGCCTCAGACTTACAAAGATCTGTCTGCTTCTGCCTTTCAAGTACTGGAATTAAAGGTATGTGCCACCGTGCCTGGTCAGGTCCTAATCCTTTTGCTTCTCAAGGACACTGGTTGGGTACTGCAGTTTTCTCTCTTACCTTGGTTGTGTTGTAAAATATTTATGTGTTCTATATGTGTCATGATATGAATAAATCTCGGGAAACATGGTTTAGCAAATTCAATCCTTTTAAGGTTGGAACTCACTAAAGGCCCCAGGATAGAAATGTGCCGTAAGATTTATCAGGATACTTAAACATTGGCTCTCTGTGCTCTGTTTTATTAGAGGATTAGCATCTGGACACCCAGTCTTTGCAAAGGCAGAATGATAATTTTCTCCTCTTAAACCACAATAGAGCTATTTGGAATTTATTACTGATGTTTTCATAGATATTCATCAATCTTAGGAACCCTGAGTTAGAGTAAAGCTGGGTGTAGGGTTGGTTTTGACATAAATTAACCGCCTAATAATGAACAGTTTACTTATTTTCTTCAATGTTAGCATATTCCTGTTTATACAGACAGGGAACTTTGCTGTTTTCTCACTTGTCTTCCACTTACCCCAGTCTTCATAGTGGATCTCTAACAGACCAAATGATTGAGCTATTTTGTTTTCTTCTAATAAATTCTTAGGCCACAGAGAGATTCTCTGTTATTAGGCATGATAAAACTTTAAAGGCTAATTTGGTAAATGGTGGAGCAAGGATAGAAGTTTTGTTCAATATTGTACTTGATGATAGACTGGAAATAGGGATTAACCTGTCAGTTCATGACATAGCTTACTTATTAGAGGGGCAGAGACTTCCTTGGATGGATTGATTTTTATATATTATCCATTTTCTTTTCCTATAATACACGGAGCTAGAAAAGATAACCAGTTTCTCTGTTATTTCTAATTTACAAGGTTGAAATCCCTGAGAAGGAACAGGATTAGAACTTTTTCTCAAGTAGGGCATGGTATACTTGCCTTTAATCTCTGCACTTGAAAGCTAGGAGAATCTGGAGTTCAAGGTCACTCTATACTATATAGCAAGTTCTAAGCAGCCTGTACTATACAGAGAAACCCTTAGAAAATCAAAAAGATTAATAAATATTTAAAAGTTTCCTTAGAGGGCCTTGAGAGAGTGAAGAGTCTTGTGTACTGAGTTTCAGCAAACTAAAGTTGCTTAGTGGTTACTGCGTGAATATAAGAAATCATCAAACTAATTTAAAAGTTTAGGAGAGTTTTTAGGATATTTGTGCTTGATTTAAGTATTTATATGTATATGCATAATGTATTTGTTTATTGGGAGTGGGGAATAGTGGGAGAAGGGAGAATGATACTCGGTTTTATTTTGTAGGTAGCTAATCGAGCCTTATAATTTTAAATGAAATAGCTTTTAATTTTGAGCTCATGTCGAATGCTTTGTAGTCAAGATTAGAAATCTTATGTAATATGGTTAATGTCTGAGTTATATGTTTGAGAATATGATAATACTTTTCTGCTTAAATTGTCATCTGTAATATTGTATCATTTATTTTTTAGCAAGGGTCTGCGAGAAATATAACAAAGTTTCAAATACTATATTTTCCCACAACTTTTCAAAGCTGCAATCTTGGTGCTAAGGTGGAATCCTGGAGGCTCTCTATCAGCAAGAAACTGACAAGTTTGGGTGTGCCGTGACATCTAACCTGCATTTAGTTTGCTAACCACCTCAGCCAGAGAACTGAGTGTGATTCGGGCCATATTCTTAAATAAAGTTGGATTTGTTACTAGTTACTGGAAAAGGATAGAAGGAAATCTGGCTGGAGTGGGAAAGGGTAGTGTTCTGTGGTAGGAGGATATGTTTTTGGCATTTTGGCCTTCCAATTTTTGTCCTATATTAAGGAGTTGTGTTGCTGTTACATTTCTTGTCATATTCATGATGATAAAGATATATAAATGATTTTATTTTCCATGTTTTCTATTTATAGATTTTTTTTTCTAATTGTGTATTTTTTTTAAAAAGTTACATGCTTTCTATAGGCTTCCTATGTTTTTATCTTTGCTAGAATTATTAAAATGTTGTATAGAACTAACGTTTTTTTCTTTTTCATTCCCATACAGGAAGGAGAAGTTTATTGTTTATGTATTCACTGTTACCAATTTAAAACAAACGTTTTTGTCTGAGGATTCACTGTTTTCCTGTTTGCCAGATTCCTACTTAAACATGCATATACTCTTTTATAGGAATTTCAGCTTTTCAGTTGGTATTAGATATGGGTAAGTAAAAATGAGACTTCTACAGCTCTGAAGATTACCAGTAAATGTTTAGAGTTAACGGCGAACACAGTCATGTAATTTCCCACACCTCTTAATAGTCAGGTACTGTTTTAGATTTCAAGTACTAGTAATTGAACCTAGGACCTTACACATGTTAGGCAAGTAGTCTATTACTGAGCTACCTCTCCATTCCAGAGAACTGAGTTACTTTGAAAACCAACATTGTAGTGTGTGGTGTTTTTTGTTTTTTTGGGTTTTTTTTTTGATTGCTGCTAAAGTCAGAACTTGGAAAGAGACCTAATGGTCTTCATAAAGTCCTCTTTATCATTTCATAAAGGAATGACTTAAAGAAACAAGACTTGCTTCCACGAAACTTCTTTTAACAAGATGTTTAGCCACATAACATCGTTATTAATGAGACATTCCTTGTTTAGTGTCTTATAATCTTGACATACCAAGAGCAACTCTGAGACAAAAAAATCTGAGCTTTTAGCAGTAGCCTGATTACTACCCTTAACTTGTTAGAACATTGATGACTGCCCATTCCTTAGGACTAGTGGATACAAGTATCTTTCAGGAGCTCTATGTTTATCCTTACATATAGTTCTAAGTATCCTAGACTTTGAGTAAGAAAAGGCTATAAACATTTTTTTCTGACTGATGGAAAACAAATATTTTTATAGTGCATTAGGTGTGCTCATGAAATAAAAGTTTCACAATAAAATGATTCTGTTTTCTAATTTATTCTGTTGTAGTCTGTTCTTTTTCATTAAAAAAAAAATAATAGAAGCTAAGAATGGTGGCACATGCCTGTATGTAGTTCCTGCTCTTGGGAGATGAAGGCAGGAGGGAGGATCAAGAATTCAAAGCCAGCATCCTCTAGGTAGTGAGTTTAAAGTCAGCCTGGGCTGCATGAGACCCTACCTGAAAAGTAAACATAAAAAATAAAGTACAAACTTAATATCACTATAAGTATTTTTTGTTTTTTTAATGATAGGATAGAATTACTGTTTCAGTTATGGTATGAAAGTAGCAAAAGTGAGGGCTGGCTCAGTTGGCAGATTATTTGTCTAGCATGGATGCCCTGAGTTCAATTCCATCCCTACCACTGCATACCCCAAGTAATTGATTCCACACTTGTAATCACAGGTGGGAACAGGAAGATCACAAAGTCTTCAAGGTTTCTTGGGTTCACGGGAATTTGAAGTCCACTTAGGCAAATGAAACCTTGTCTCAAAAACAAAACAAACCATTTAAAAATAGCAAAGTGAATTTTAAGGTAAGTTCCTTTTTGTGGACAATGCAAATATTTAGCAATAAGATCAAATATATTGAACCTTTGGTCTGTGAGAATCTAACATTTAAGCTTGTGCCCTAGGAATAATTTTTTTCTGTGCAAGTAGTCAATGTTTTAATTAAACCAGCAAGCAAAAAATATCGTTTAGGTTAAACTGATTATTTCCAGTAAAGTAAAATAACACATCTACGGAATTAACTCTCAGATTTTCCTGTATTTGGTGATCAGGGTAGAGGGAAGTCAAACACAGCATTTAAACCTGATACTATTGCCATTGAAGTTTGCTTAAGAGTATGACTTAGTTGTTACCTGCTATCGGTGGTCCAGAAAGGACAGCCATTCCAGCAAAGAAACTGGCATATCCTAAAAACTTGTGCACTCTACAATTCTTAGACAGATCGACCTGCAATTAGAATTCATTGTTAATCATTTTAAGGATGAATGTCTCCGGTGTCTTATGTTTACAAAGTTTTTTTTTTAAAAAAAATCTTAAACTAAATGGTTTTATTCCTGGGATGATTTGGATAACTCTTTGCTCCCAGTGTTAGGAAAGGGAATAGAAGTCAACTAGGGAACAGCACTTTGGCCTGGCAAAGTAATGTTTTCAGTTTATTAGTGGGGTCCGTTGGTGTTGGATTTCGGTAGGTTAATCTTTTATGTAGTTCAGTAGTGTATTTACCTCCCAAACCTTAGTGATTTCCCCTCTCCGTTAGGAAATAGTATTTTGGCAATCTGTACATACAGTAATATTGGATCTACTTATGACTGACTACCAGCCATAGGTTTATAAGAAATTTAGTAACACAAGGAGCTTATTTCAGCCTTTGGAAGCTGAAATTTTGCCTAAGCCTCATACACTGTTCTATAAAACTTTAAAAAATAGTTCCATTTAAATTCAGGATTTAATTCAGTTTACAATAAAAACGAAGAACTTGTCAAAACAATGTCCTTATGGTACACAGAAGCCACATTTGTTAGACTTACATGCTTGTGTTCTAGTAAGAGTCAAGAGACCCCTGGAGGGGAGGAGCGAACAGAAGAAAGTTGGAATCTTTCTGATCTCTGTTCCTTTTTCCATTCTATGCGGCTAATCCTCTCAGCTTCTTTTCCTCACATGGTAAGGTAAATAATGACAGGATATAGCTAGCTATAGAGTTTCTGAGGTCTCATGTAATTTTTGTTTTGTTTTCCAAGACAGGGTTTCTTTGTAGCTTTGGAGCCTGTCCTGGCACTAGCTCTTGTAGATCAGGCTGGCCTCGAACTTCCAGAGATCCGCCTGCCTCTGCCTCCCGAGTGCTGGGATTGAAGGTATCACCAACACCCGGCTTCATGTAACTTTAATCATAAAAATAGTACAAAATTTGAATTCTCTTTTGGGAAAACTGTTACTGAGCCTTGTATTGAGTGATTTAACATTAACGAATGAATCTACTCACCAGTACTGGGAGTATCAGTGCCAGGTAGCCACCAGCAAAAATGGCAAAAAAGATGGTATAGGCCATAAGGAGTGGGAATGTGGTGGCTAAAGGAGCAAGCAGGTTAGTTACACCACATAGAATGAGGTAAAACTTATGGTATTGATACTTCTTGATCCAGTTTTGATCAGCAATCCATCCAGAAATAAGCTGACTGACTGTCTCAGTGATACCTGGAACAGTAAATACAAAATCAGGCAATCTTTGTTTCCTCACACCCTCTGTAAAAATGTCAATGTGTAAGCACATCTTTCTCCAAATAGTAGCACTCTGTTTTGAGGTCAGAGTACATGAAGGAAAAATAATTTCATACTGAAATAGGATATATAAGTTACTTCCTCTTCTAAACACATTTAATAGAATAACAAAATGCTGCCTCCAGCAGAACATGAAACCATCAAATTACCATGTGTGTGTGGAATCCCTGCTTTTTAAAAAAAAAAAAAACCTGGCTGAAGAGATCTTACAGCTTAAAAGAAGCTGCAAGTGAGGATATGAAACTTTTGTGTCATGAGGAGTCATGGTAAAACATGGGAGAAATTAAAATCTTATAATAAGAGACACTGGAACTTATATTTGTTTATGAAGCTTTGGAGTTTAAAACTTCCAAAGGTTATCATAGTTAGTTTGAAAATATGTAAGAAGTCTAAAAATGTCACTTGGGACATAGGTGGTAAGGTGTAATGAGCAGTGATTCAGAATCACAGTTTTTCACTCAGCATTCTTACCATTTATCCTGTTACAGGACATAGCAGTTAAAAATACCAAAAGAGCAGCATGAAGCCAGGTGTGATAGCATGGGGAGGTGGGGCCTACTCTGTACAGTGTAACAGCAGTTTTGACTGAAGCACACTGGAACTAGGTGTCCAGCTTTGTAAGGGCTTGGGTGGTAAGAAACCTTTCAAAAAGTTAAGTTGAACTACTGAGAATTGCTGGGTTAGAGCAAACCAAGATTCGATCTTACCCCTTTTCATTTGTTTCAGACTCCTTGTTTTGTTAGGTGAGAGAATCTACAACCTAAGCATTTGATCTTACAACATTATGTAATTCCATAAAATAATTGTATTTTTTAAATTTATATTCTAATTTAAGTATAAACCTGTGGATTAGTGACATTCAAGTGACATTCAAGGGTCATATTTATCTCACAATTATTTCAAGAGGAAATTACTTAACATCAATAGTGTATTACATTCCTAATACGGCTGTGAAAGAAAGCAGTGCCTTACACCCGTCCTATAGATAAGAAAGGAAATCCTGGCACAGAGGAGTCTTGCCCAAGGTCATACACAGCAAGGAAATCCAGGCAAGACCCTGAACTGGGAAGTTAAGCTTCAGAATCCATCTTTCCAGGTACCACAGTTTTCTAGCTGAGATTTCCTTCTTCCCAGACTAGTTGTTGACACTTAGCACTAGCTTTCTGAAAATTTTTCTGCCCAAGAAGTAATTGGTATCTATTGTGTTAGACACCTGAAAATGAATAAGGTGAGTTAGGCCCACTCAAATCCGCAAGATCGCAGTTGACAGATCTGTGTGTGGAAATGCAAGGTATTCTGCTGAGCCCCAGAAGACTTGCTGTCCCTAGCCTCCCACAGCCAGCTCATGACTGCTCTTGCTATTTCCCTCCTTTCTCTCCTTGCTTCAGTTTTAAAATAAAATTTTACCAAGCTAAGTTTATTTTTCCTTCTAGGTAGGAGGCTTGAGATAGATTTTCTTACCAGCTACAGACACAAGGTAGGAGGCATCCATTATGTCAATTCCAAGTGTTTTGGCTCTGGCGACTAGGTGAAAAGTAGGAACGAAATAGGCTAATTGACTGAGGAGAAAAGACCAGGTAAATATGTAGAAGAAAGGATTTCTAAAGAGAGAAATATCTAAAAAATTTTGTTTACATTTCCATGAAACAAACTTTTTTTGGTAACTTTTGTCGTTGCTCATAAGTAACAGTCTGTTCCTGTGAGGTCCATTGCCAAACTCTTCACCTTGATGTTCTAAGACAGTTAAATTTTTAGTCAGTTGATCAGATTTCTTCATAGAAATGCCTTGGATAGAAGACTCTTGTGTGTCATTGCAGTATGTTTCTGTCCTGTCTGATGCCTCGGATCCAGTTGCAGACAAACTGCTACCTTTGTTTTTGATATCAGAATTGTTCACTGTTTCGGTGTGGATGGGTCTTAAGAGCATGCTGGAAGGCACCAAATTCAATGCAATAGCTCCAAATAATATAAGAGCACCTAAGTTGAAGAGAAATTGAGAAGATAAGAATACTCTTCAGTTCGTGGTACTTTCTATTTATAGGTTCAGAAGAGACCAACAGACTTAGTCCAATAATTCTTGAAAGTACTACTTTGCTTCCCATGTTTACTTAAAAATCTATTTTATTTGTATATGTGTGTGTGTGTGCACACGCGTGCATGCTCATGTGCATGCATATGTGTGGCCCACTGAAGCCAAAGAGAATTAGATACCCTGGAGCTGAAATTCCAGGCAGTAGTGAGATGTCTGATACAGGTGCTGAGATTGGAATTCTGGTCATCTGGAAGAATAAATAGCAAAATGCCTTTAACTGCTGAGCCATCTCTCCTTCCCTGCTTCCCTAATTTAACTGAAAGCATTTAAATCTATTGACAGTATACATGCTGCTAGAAAATGAAATATGTTGGAGATAGAAAACCAGGAAGTTGGACCAAGAAGTCATATGAAAACGAAGGGGGGGGGAGGGGTTGGAGGTGGGTTGATAATCTGAATGGCACAAAATTACAATACATTCTTAATGGCTATTTTAAATATATTGCAGTAACTGGATTTTGGTGTAGGAAATACAAAATTTATCAGTGGGAATCATGAGGAAAACAGGAAAGGGGACAGCCTTTCAGTCTATTATTTTGTTTAAACACTTGAAAGAAGACATGCTAGTCTTGCACTAGATACTGAGTACTTGATTGGTTTTGGTGTGCCCTGAACAAAGTTATGACATTTGTCTTTGGAGAGAACAAACTATGTAGGCTTTCTTAAAGATTTGTCAGCTGAAGATTACCATTCACCATGAGATTACTGAGTAAGTGCTCTACATAGGAACGAGTCAGTACAACAATATAAAGATAGAAATAGACATAAACATTGTAAAGAAAATACTTCAGAAGTGGTTTTGTGGAAAATTCTAGTGTGTGTGTGTGTGTGTGTGTGTATGATTGTCCAATAGGAGCATAATCTTTTTACAAATGCTTCATATACTCTATTTTATTGACGAGTTAGAGGAAAAGGAGAAGAGCATTGTTTTTCTAATGGCCTTCCAGTTGGCTCTCCTGCATTGAATTCCAGAGAGTTCTGAGTGAGCTAACAAAGCCTCCAGGCCATGGAAGATCTTTCTTTCTTCTTTCTTGTTTTTCGAGACAGTTTCTCTGTAACTTTGTAGCTTGTCCTGGAACTAGCTCTTGTAGATCAGGCTGAGCTTGAACTCACAGAGATCCTCCCGCCTCTACCTCCCAAGTGCTGGAATTAGAGGCCTGCACCACCATCTTCCAGCCCTTTTCTTTCATACTTTTTAAGGAAGGTGATGTTCTTCCATTCAGTATCATTCTTATTTCCCCTCTCATTATCAGTGCTAGGGATTAAACCCAGAACCTTGTGCGTACTATATAGCAACACCTGCAAGTGTTTTCACTTTATGTGGTATGGTACCTCATTCCCTTAATCCCAGCATTGCCACCAGTTTGAGGCCAGTCTTGTCTCCATAGCAATATCTGGACTCGCCAGGGAGCAAGGAAGCAGAGTTTATTGGTCTTGAAGCTTCACTCATCATCAAAGGGAAGGGGGAAACATTAACCTTTTGGTGTTGATAGTTTCAAAACTTAGACTGACTCACCTGTCCAGTCATAAAGATCTATCAGGAATTTTGTAAAGGGTGCCAGCAGAAACGTCAGTCCCATTCCAGAACGGGCAATCGCTGTAGAAAGCCCCAATCGTTTTTTGAAATATTTGGTAATTACCACAGCAGCTACTTGGTACAAAAAAGCAGACCCCAATCCTAAAAGAAAAACAAGTTTGAAATTACTTTCTTATTAGGTTATTAGTTACCAGATCAGATATTTTATTTAGGAGCCTTGGGCAGTAGAAAGGTTTTCTGTTTCATCTTTTATAGTCTATTTACAGTAGACTCACCAGGTAACAGTCCCATAGTCACACAAAGAAAGGGAATGCCTGTGGCCCAACTGCTGACCAGATAGCCACCAGAAACAAGGAAAGTCCCAAGAATGGAGGTAGGTTTTTCTCCAAGTATGTCACAAATAATAGCAGCCAGGGGACCTTAAGAGAAGAGAGAGTGCTAGATTAATGTGTAGTGATAGTTTATGTTTTAACAAGTAAAACTTGCCTGAAGATCAGAGTACAGAGCTAAGCCACTAGAAACCAGGGAGTGGTGGCTCACACCTTTAATCCCAGCACTAGGGAGGTGGAGATGGGAGTGATATGATTGGGCAGAGAGGAATTTAAGGTGAGAGATGACAGGAGCTCATTGCAGTCTGAGTTTGGTGAAGACAAATGCAGTCAGGAGATGCAGTCTGACAGGATCGCCCCTTCAGTCTGAGCATTAGTAGAGATAAAAGAACTCTAGTGGCTGCAGGCTCTGCTTCTCTCATCTTCAGCATTAACCCCTATATCTGACTTTGGGATTTTATTATTACTACCAGTTAGAATTCATGCTACATTAATGTGCTCTGGCACCCCTTAGTCCTTATGTGTGATTTGAATGAATGGGAAGAAGACAGGATAATTGCTTTAAAATATTGTATATTCAAGAAAATAAAATTTTATTTACACTAATGGCAATTGTTTTGTGCAAAGTTAAATCACTAATCTCCGTATTATCATATTACTAAACTAGAAGAGAAATTGGTTTAATGTTTGTTTTTAATATGATCACATAATTAAAACTGAAGGGTTTCATTTTCAGGTTGAGGTCTTGGCTCACTGGACTGAAAGCCTTACCAGACTAGAAAGAAACAAGGCACGAAAAATTCCATTCATGAATCAAATAGTTGGATTTTTAATTACTGTTTAACCCTAATTTTTCCAACTTAGTTTCCAGGTTAAGTGGGCTTAAACACTGGTGTCTCTTTCAGTATTACATACTGATATTAATGCATATTAATAAGTAAACTTGAATGTAACAGTACTTCAGCTTTAAAGGAATGATGGTGTTGTCAAGGACCTTTGTGGTCATTCTCTGTAGGCAGCAAGCTTGTTGCCAGTTTCATACCTGCAGAGAAACGGAGTGCTGACATGATGGATCCAATCCAACCAATTTGCTCTGAAGTGCCTTCAAACTCTTCTTGAAAGACCACAAAGAATATTGCAAACGTCTTGGTCATTGCCATCACAAACACATTTACCTAAACCAAAGCATATCATTAGGTAGAAAGCGGACTAGTGCTGTTACCAGAGGTTCTATTGCTCTAGCATTTCAATACTTACCTATTTTTCTTATTGATGCTTTCTGGTTATGTAATAGGGGTGAGAAGCAGTTCATTCCTCTTTAAAGTGGTGGGACATAGTCATGAAAATATAGACTTGAAATTCCCATTTCAAGTCTGGAAAGGATGTGTGTCACCATTGTTTTATAGATGAGAAGTAGAAGTTAAGAGAGAAAACAAATGGCCAGTGATGATTCAGGCACTGAGGCTTGTATCTTAGACTGACACCAGCTTCACCACTACTTTTGTTTCCTTGTTGTCTAGCAGTTCAGGAGGTTGTTTATTCCAGATGCCTTTGGTGGGGAGAGACTTTCTGTTTGGATAGATACTACCATTCCTCGCATCCTAAAGAATCATGACCAACACCCACCTTACTTGAATCAACATTCCTAGTCTTATTTCACAATAGTATCTCTTATCTGGAGGCAAGAGACTGAGAGTTGGCAATGGTTAGGAGGCTTTCAAAGTTCAGGAAGGAGTCCTAAACAGTTTTCTCATTCTGATTTGAAAGTACAAAACAAAACTTGGGGCTAGAAAGGTGGCTTAGTGTTTAAGAGCACTTGTTGCACTTCCAGAGGTCGCAGGTTCAGTCTCCAGCGCCCACAATTTGGCAGTCTATTATAATTTTCCTCCAAATAAGAAACAAACTAGCAAACTGTGTAAATATCAAAATAGAGTGTAGTTCTTATGAGCAAGGACCACCAATGTGAAGTGTTGTTTTGTAAGGTTCTTTTCCTGTGTGGTGATGATGTCCACAGAATGCTTACCTGTTTTTTTTTGTGTTTTGTTTTTTTGAGAAAGAGTCTATGTATGTAGTCTTGACTGCCCTTGACTGTGTAGACGTGGTTGACCTTGAACTCACAAAGGCCCTCCTGTCTCTGCCTCCCAAGTACTAGGATTAGATACACCACCACAACCGGCTTACCTCTGTTCTTAATCATCTGAATATGGCTTGCTCTTGGTCTCCAGTAAGAATGTTTGTTTAGATTGTTTCTTATTCCTTCTAACTCTAGCATTGAAGTGTGACTGCAGCCTGTGTTGTGTATTCACTGAGTCTCAGGAAAGGAAAGGTGGAACTCCTGCATTTCCCCAGTCAGCTCTTTTAACTTCATAGTTCATTTTTATTGGGACTCAAAAAAAAAAAAATACTGAAGACTTATCCCAATGTCTGTATTTTCCCTTCATTAAGCAAGCAGACTTCTATTTAAGTCTTGATCCTGTGCCTTGGTAGGTGTCAGTCTTGCTTCAGTCTTCATCGGCCTTTGTAATTGTCTCACTTCCAAATCAAGCAAAAACCTAGGAATGGCCCAACCCCTATTTTCCAATTTAAAAGCAGTTTTTTGTTGTTTTGGTTTTGGTTTTTTGAGATAAGAATTTTTTTCTCTGTGTAGCCCTGGCTGTCCTTGAACTCTCTGTAGACCTGGCTGGCCTCAAATGCAGAAATCCACCTGCCTCTGTGTCCCAGGTGCTGAAATTAAAGGCAAGGGCAAATACCAACTGGCAAAACCAGTTAGTTATATTAGACCCATAAGAATACTAAGTGGTTCTTACTCGTTTGTGTGTTTTAGATCAGCCTTGACTCATTTTGAAATTACTGCCAGTTGTTAGGGCCACTTTTAATTAATAACAGTTTCTTACTATCCCGGGCCCTTTTGTTGTAATAGCCTAGCTTGTCCTGACCTTCACAGACAAGTTTCTTTAAAGTCTGTTGATTCTATTTATCACAGTATTCCACCAAAAACTGAAGTTCAGTAGCTTAGTGCCCAGCATCTAAGAGCTCTGGCCAAGGATATCAGAGAGTTGCTTATTGCTAAGCCAGGAGATTGTTCCCATCTCTATTGTGTGATCTCAACAGTGCCCATGCATCACTTTTTTCTCTGATAATTTCTAGACATCTGCCTACTTCTATGCTTTTTTCCCCTCTCTGAATGATTCCATTCATCCCGCATTGAGTCCTCCCAAGATTTGTCCTATTCCTCTTTTCTCTGGTGGTTTTAAATAGTGTATATTGGAGACATAGGTTGCTCTACTTCAGATGCATATAGACTATATCAAGCCAGTTCGTGGTTATAAGTTCCTTGGACTCTGTTCAAGATTAAGCCATTCCAACTGTTTGCTTTTTCCTGTTCCTCTTAACTCGAGTGAACGGCATTCATCACTCACCGAAGTGCTTCAGCTAACAGCTCTGGACTCTTCATATTCCTTGCTGTGCAGGTTCCTCTCCACATCTTAGCCTGCCCTCTTGATATGCTCAGATCTGTATTTCAGTTATTCCTGGTATCTTCTTTAAACTTGGGGTCTTATTGTTTTCTTGCCTATGCTGCAGCTTGTCCAATAGATACCCTGTGTCTAGATACAATCCTCACTACTCCATTCAATAATGGACTAACCACCACAGTTGTAACTCTAAAATACTTTCCTGATTAATTTGCCTCACTTAAACTTCATATTCTCAGAACAACCAAAATCTGTTATTTTTCTGAGATTGTCTCACTGTGCTGCCCAGGCTAGCTGTGGACTCATGATTCTCCTGCCATTGCCTCCCAAGTTCTGAGATTACAGGTGTGCACCACCACATTTGTCCCTTAACGTGTTTTCTGTAGCCTCTGTGCACCTCTGACTTCTTCTACCCTCTTGTTTACTTACAAATGTGTCTATCAGATTATTCATCCCCCACGAGCAGGTATTTAATGAATGGCTACTGTGTTTCAGACTGTATATTCAGAGAAGGCATATTATATGTCTGCTAAGACATACTAAACACAGAAACAGTTATATATAAAGTCTGGTAAGTTACAATGTAACCTTCCTATGCCTTTGTAGGGGAGCTTACAAAGTACACAGAATTTTTTTCACTGTTTCAGGAGTTTAAGTGTTATGGGAAAGTAGTCTTGGTAATTGATTCAGAAATAAACGCAGTGGCCTGTAAGGATGCACATTATCACTGTGAGCAGTGAATTGGCCCGAGTTCATTGTTGACAGTTTGCTATATTTTTTGTGCTTCAATATGCATCATCATATTACCCAAACAAGATGTTATTCACCTGATTGTGAGGTGCCTTTTCTTAGCACCTCAAATAACTTGCTGGTCATTGAGAACAATGTAGAAAAAAGTGGGAGAACCAGACCATCCAACAATACCAGCACCATAAACCATGGTTTGAGAAGAGGCTCAACCAGGCAGGGATCTCAGACTTAAGGCACTTTTAGTTTCCCTGTTAGCAGTGTTTCTGTGTAAGGGGAGGAGAAATGCCAGTCTTTGGTAATGAAGCCAGAGTTTAGCAATGTGTGCTTTATTGTTTTATAATACACAAACCTCAGCTGAGGATCTCTGCCTTCTCCATTTTTTACCATTAGGGAGAGGTAATGCATTATGTTTTCCCACCTCCAATTTCATACAGATGTCTGTTACTCACCAATACTTGTGCTCCCATTGTGCGGGCTGTTTGTTGTAAATCTAAGCAGGGGAGGAATGTCAAGAAAGAGGTGTTTTGTGAGTGTGTCTCAAAGTTGACAGAATGATCTAGGGATGCACAGGTTGAGGCACAACTGTGGACGGGATCCATCAGTGTTTGGAATGGGCACGCTGATAATGCACATCACCACTTTCTTACATAGCAACCCCAACAGTTCTTGGAGATGAGGGTAAGAAGTCTTAGCTTTACAAAACATGTCAGATATACAATGTTTAATTCTAGTTTGAGTTATTGGGGGCGGGGGAGATGTGGGCAGCAGGTGGAATGTTCCCAGTCCCCATCAATGAAGGAAGCTGTCTCAGTTGACTTTCTATTGCTGATTAAATACTTGGGAAGAAAAGGGTTTATTTCAGCTTACAGTTTATAATTTACCATGAAGTTGGGCAGGAACTGAAGCAGAAGCTATGGAGGAATACTGCTTTTCCCAGCTTGCTCAGTTTGCTTTCCTAAACAACACAGGACCACGTGTCCAGGGGTGACAGTGAACAGGACTCTCTCACATCAATCATTAATCACAGACTTGCCTACAAGTCAGTCTGATGGAAGCAATTCCTCAGCTGCCGTTCCTCTTTCCAGACGTGTAGGTTTGTGTCAGGTAGACAAAAGCCAGCACAAAGACTACTGTTAGAATTACTGTGGACATGTTAGGCTGAGTGAGCACTTAATTTTGAGATAAGGTCTTGCCACGTATGATTGGCTGGCCTTGACCTCTCAGCAATCATTTTGATTTGGTCTCTTTGAATGCTGGAATTTTAAGTATTATAGTCTCACCCCTGGCAGGACTGATAATTTTATAGAAATGCCCAGTGATAGCCCTAGTATAGTAAGAAAGGCAGTGTCCCCAAATCCCAATTGCCATGCTGCCAGGGTAGAACTGCCAATCAAGCCTGGAGCATTCTCTGATTAAGAGATCATAGGCAGAGGAGAGGACTGGATAAGAATATAAGAATGTTTCTACTTTCAAGGTTTAGCCGGGTTGGCCTTTGATTAGTAGTTTGGGGGAAGTTCCTGGCTGCCTGTCTACTCAGATCTCATTATTTCTGAAGTGATTTTTGTTAGGCTTCAAGCTTTTCTCCAGACAGTTTAGCAGTTTGAAAGGGGAGAGAAACTTACCAGGAAAAAATGCAGCACGATCATCCATCCCCATCCTCCATCCAGGGGTTTAGCCTTTTCTTCCCTGTTCATTGTGGTGCTTCCTTTGTGTTTCAGACAGATCACTGTAGCAGATCCAAATCAGTTGCATCAGTAGCCAAGGAAATGATCTAAACTTTCGTGGGTCTCTCTCCCCTCCCCTCCCCTCCCCTCCCCTCTTCTTTCTCTCTCTCTCTCTCTCTCTCTCTCTCTCTCTCTCTCTCTC